GAAGAAATAATGGCAGAAAATTTCCCTAACTGGGTGAAGGCAAAAATCACACAAATTCGGGAGGCACAGAGAGTCCCAAGCAAGAAGAATCCAAAGAGGCCCACGTCCAGACACATCATAATTAAAATAACAAAAATTCAAGACAAAGAGAGAATATTAAAGACAGCAAGAGAAAAACGATTTGTTTACCTACAAAGAGCTCCCATAAGGCTGTTAGCTGACTTCTCATCAGAAAATCTACAGGCTAGAAGGGAATGGCATGAAGTATTCAAGGTAATGCAAAACAAGGATCTGAAACCACGACGAAGGCTATCATTCAAAATAGATGGTGAAGTAAAGAGCTTCAAAGACAAAAAAAGGCTAAAGGAGTTTATCACCACCAAACTCGCATTGCAGGAGATGTTAAAAGGGAGTGCTATAATAATAATAAGAGAGAGAAACATAGACATAAAGAATTAAAATGGCAATAGATAAGAATCTATCAATAATATCCTTAAATATAAATGGATTAAATGCTCCAATCAAAAGATATAGGGTAGCTGAATGGAGAAGAAAACATGGCCCAAACATATGCTGTCTACAAGACACCCATCTCAAAACAAATGGCTCACATAGTATGAAAGTGAAGGGATGTAAAAAGTTTTCCATGTAAATGGAAAATAAAAAAAAGCTGGGGTAGCAATACTCACATATGACAAAATAAACTTCAAAATGAAGGCCATAACAAGAGACAACAAAGGGCACTACATAATACTAAAAGGATCAATCCAACAAGAGGATACAGCCCTGATAAACACATATACATCCAATATAGGCGCAAATAAATTTATAAAAAAACTTCAGGAGGACTTTTGGGAGAGATCAACAGCAAAACAATCATAGTTGGGGACTTTAACATGCCTCTGACTTCACTGGATAGATCTTCTAGACATGAAATCAACAAGGAAACAGATCTTAAATGACACACTAGATCAGATGGATTTAACTGACATTTACAGAACATTCCACCCAAAAGCTGCAGAATATACATTCTTCTCAAGTGCACATGGAACATCCTCAAAGATAGACCACGTTAGGACACAAAATAAGTCTCTACAAGTTCAAGAAGACTGAAATCATATCAAGCATCTTATCAGATTAAAATGGCATGAAATTAGAAGTTAACAGTAAAACACTCAAAAGCATGCAAACACATGGAGGCTAAATAGCATCTTATTAAACAAAGAATGGGTTACCAATGATATCAAGGAAGAAATCAAAAACTTCCTGGAAACAAATGAAAATGAACACACAACAATCCCAAATCTATGGGACACAGCAAACGCAGTCTTCAGAGGATAGTTCATAGCACTGCAGGACTACCTCAAAAAGCAAGAAAAAATTTTAATAAACTATCTAACCCTACAACTTAAAGAATTAGAAAGAGAACAACAAGAAAGGCCCTGAGTAAGTAGCAGGAAGGTAATAATAAAGATCAGAGTGGAAATAAATGACACAGAGACTGAAAAAACAATACAAAAAAATCAATGAACTCAAGAGCTGGTACTTTGAAAAGATAAACAAGATTGATGAACCTATAGCCAGACTCATCAAGAAAGAGAGAGGACCTGAATAAATAAAATCAATAATGAAAGTGCTGAAGTAACAACTGACACCACAGAAATACAAAAGATTGTAAGAAAATAGTATGAACAATTATATGCCAACACAAGTTGGACAATGTGGATGAAATGGACAAATTCCTAGAAAAATACAACCTCCCTAAATTGAATTAGGAAGAGTCCAAGAATCTGAATTGGCCAGAAACAACTGATGAAATTTAAGCAGTAATTCAAAAACTCCCAGCAAACAAAAGCACTGGATTGGAAGGCTTCATAGGGGAATTTTACCAAACATTCAAAGAACTATTATCCATCCTCTTCAAATTATTCCAAAAAATCCAAGAGGAAAGAACACTTCCAATCTCTTTTAATGAGGTCAGCATTATCCTAATTACCAAACTAGATAAAGACAATACAGAGAAAGAGAATTACAAGCCAATATTCCTGATGAACATAAATGCTAAAATCCTCAACAAAATACTAGCAAATTGGACTCAGCAATATGTTAAAAAGACCATACATCATGATCAAGTGGGATTTATTCCAGGGATGCAAGGCTAGTCCAATATTAGCAAATCAATAAATGTGATATATCACATAAAAAAACTGAAAGGCAAAAATCAAATGATCATATCATGAGGTGCAGAAAAAGCATTCAACAAAATCCAATACCCTTTTTAGATAAAATCTCTCAGCAAAGTCGGAATACAGGGATCATACCTCAACATAATAAAGGCCATAAATGAAACACCTATAGTCAATATCATATTCAATGGGCAAAAACTAAAACCATTTCCCTAAGAACAGGAACAAGACCAGAATGTTTGCTTTTACCACTCTTTTTTTTAAAATATGTTTTTATTGATTTTAGAAAGAGAAGAAGGGAGAGGGATAGAGAGAAACATCGGTGAGAGTGAAACATCCTGCATGCCCTTACTGGGGATCGAACCCATAACCTGGGCATGTGACTTGACTGGGAATTGAGCCAGTGACCTCTTGGTACATGGGTCGACACACAACCACTGAACCACACCATCTGGGCCATTTTCACCATTCCAATCCAACGTAGTACTGGAAGTACTAGCCACTGCGATCAGAAATGAAGAAAACATAAAAGGCATCAAAATTGGAAAGCAGGAAATAAAACTGTCATTATTTGCAGAGGACATAATCTTGTACACAGAAAACCCTAAAGACTTCACCAAAAAACTACTAGATTTACTAAATGTATTCAGCAATGTAGCAAGATACAAAATTAACACCCAGAAATCAATTGCATTTTTATATACCAATAATTAAATTTTGAGAAAGGGAAACTAAAAAAACAATTCTTTTTACCATTGCAACAAAAAAATTAAGATACTTAGAGATAAACTTAACCAAGGAGGTAAAAGACCTGTACTTGGAAAGCTACAGGATGTTGAAAAAAGAGATAGAGGGCTATATAAACAAATGGAAGAATATACCGTGTTCATGGATTGGTAGAATGAACATCAATAAAATGTTCATACTACACAAGGCAATCTATAGATTCAATGCAATGGCCATTAAATTACCAATGGCACATTTCAAAGATCTAGAAGAAATGCTCCAAATATTTATATGGAACCAAAAACGACCCTGAATAGGTGCAGCCATATTGAGAAAGAAAAACAAAGTTGGAGGGATCACATTGCCAGATATCAAATTACACTACAAAGCCACTGTAATCAAAACAGCCTGTTAAAGGAACAAGAACAGATATATAGATCAATGGAACAGAACAGAGAACCCAGAGATTTACCTAAAACATTAAACTCAATTAGAATTTGATAAAAGAGGCAAAAGCATACAACGGAATTAAGACAGTCTCTTCAATAAATGGTGTTGGGAAAATTGGACAGCTACATGCAAAAAAATTAAACTAGACCACCAACTTACACCATACACAAGGATAAACTCAAAATGGATAAAATATTTAAATATAAGTCATGAAACCATAAAAATCCTAGAAGAAACCATGAGCAGCAAAACCTCAGACATCTCTCAGAGCAATATGTTGGTTGATACACATCCTAGGGCAAGGGAAATATGGGAGAAAATAAATAAATGGGACTACATCAAAATAAAAAGCTCTGCACAGCAAAAGAAACCATCAACAAAACAAAAAGGGAGCCCACTGTATGGGAGAACATATTAGCTAATGATATATCTGAAAAGAGGTTAATTTCCAAAATATATAAGGAACTCATACAATTTAACAAAAGGAGGAAAAACAAATCAATTAAAAAATGGGCAAAGGACCTAAATAGACAGTTCTCCAAAGAGGATATACAGATGGCCAGGAGATATATGAAAAAATGCTAAAAGTCACTAATCATCAGAGAGATGCAATTTAAACAACAATGAGGTATCACTTCATACCTGTCAGGATGGCTACCATTAACAAATCAACAAATGACATATGCTGGCGAGGATGTGGAGAAAAGGGAACCCTAGTACACTGCTGGTGGGAATGCAGACTGGTGCAGCTACTATGGAAAGCGGTATGGAGTTTCCTCAAAAAATTAAAAATGGAACTGCCATTTGACCCAGTGATCCCACTTCTAAGAATATATCCTAAGAATACTGAAACACCAATCACAAAGAATATATACACTCCTATGTTCATAGCAGCACAATTTACAATGGCTAAGATCTGGAAACAGCCCAAGTGCCCATCAGTAGATTAGTGGATAAAAAAGCTGTGGCACATTTACACCATGGAATACTATGCAGCTATAAAAAGAGATCGCTTACCCTTTGAGACAGCATGGAGGGACCTGGAAAGTATTATGCTAAGTGAAATAAGCCAGTCAGAGAAAGACAAGTATCATATGATCTCACTCATATGTGGAATCTAAAGAACAAAATAAACTGATGAACAAAATACATCTAGAGACATAGAAACAAGGAACAGACTGACATATCATAGAGGGAAGGTGGGGTGGGTGGGTAGGTGTGAAGAGATTAACCAAAGAACTTATATGCATGTATGCATGACCCATGGACAAAGACAATATTGTGGTGAAAGCCTGGGGTGGGGCGGCAGGTGTGGGGCAGAAGGGATTGATGGGGCAAAAAAGAGGACATCTGTAATACTTTCAACAATAAAAGTAAACTAAAAAACAAAACAAAATAAAACAAAAAAATATCTACTGCCCTGGCCAGGTGTCTCAGTTGGTTGAGTTTTATCCCATATACCAAAAGTGTTGAGTTTTTCATTCCCGGTGAAGGCACATGCCCAGGTTGAGGGTATGACCCTGAGTTGGGGGCACCTATGGGAAGCATTCAATCAACGTTTCTCATATAGGTGTTTCTTTCTCTCTCTCTCTCTTCCCCTTCCTCTCTAAAATCAATAAAAACACATCCTCAGGTGAGTGTTTAAAAAATCTCTAAAAAATATCGACTTTATTATTAGCATTTTAGTACTTCTGAGGAAAACAAAAGAAACCTCTATTTCCAACATAGGTTCTTCCCAGTTCATGATACTTTAGTTTTTCTCAATTACATTTACATACACTTTTATCATTTGTATCATATAATTCAAATAATTAAAGGAAATAAGTGAGTTGATTTTGAAGATGTAGCTTTCAAACAAAGATCCAAAGTGGCAAAGCAAAAGCTGTCCGAAAAGCACAGAATTATTAACAATGCATAGGATCGGTTTCATCTCCAAAGCTATATTCCTGGGAATCAATCCATTTGTAATTTTAATCTGCTAACTCCACAGGTTTGGTATCTTAAAGCATGTGCATCAATGTGCTTTAGAAGTATTTTGTGTTCTTGGAATGTCCTCTTTAAGGGAAATCCCCTTTTGCATTTCTATGACCTGTTTCTCTTGATAATTCTGCATGAAAACTGATGGCTGCTTTCTAAAATTTTTCAAAGAAGACTTTGAGGCCAGAAGGAACTTCCAAAGTGGGATATACAGTTTGGTGTATATCTGTTATTCAGAGTGCTCCTCTAGCTTTCCCAGGTTTGTGCTTTCCTTCGGAGTCTCTGAATTGGCCTCTGGTACAGCACCAAATTCTGAAGCCCCTGGTTGTAATCTGTCTCCATCCAGAACAATGTCTTCAGGATTTGGAGGGGGTGGACAGAAGTCTTCATTGGGGCAGATTTGCTGGAAGAGGTTCTCAGCCTGGCCAGGGAAGAAAGGATACAATAGTTTTTGGACATCAGCTTAACATGTATGTACCTTTCTGGCATCATTAAAAAAAAAGTATTACACTTAATCTCCTTAACTTATAGAACTTTACCCAGTATACATAAAATTTGCTTTCAGAATTCCATGAGTTTTCTTCCTCTAATTCTACGCATGCATTCAGCTTCATCCGTTGAGTATATCAGTACTTGATCAGATTCACTAAGTGTTCAGATAGTTGAGAATTTATGGACATTCATTCTACATGTCAGTTGAAATACAATTTCCCTTAATAACCTCTATATAATTTCAGAATCAAGCCTATTTGTGATATCCATATAGTATAAGTTAGCATATAACAATTTCAACAAGTCATTGTTCAAATCAAAAAAATTTTTACTCTCTACTCAATTATTTCCTTTCCTGGTATAATCTTCCTCTCCTTGAGCTTTAAGGAGTATATCAAAGTGTTTAAGATCATGGACTCTGAATATTCAGATATCTGTGCATGAATACTGGCTCTGCCACTTAGTAACGATGTGATTTGGGAATGCTTACTCAACTTCTGAGCCTTGCTTTTCTTGTCTGTAAAATAGAAGAGACTAAGTCTCTATATATCATAGCTGTTATCATTGTTATTCATCATAATATAATTTAAAATGTTAAGATTTAAGCAGAGTTTAGTCTGGAAGGGAAGAATAAGAAAGTAAATGTAATCATAATTAACAACACATACACAAGTAAGTAGCATTGCTACTCTAAACATATTCCTACTTTTATTTAGATCAGGGGTGGGGAATGTCTGGCCTGCAAAATCATTTGGTCTGGCCCTGCCAAGGCAACCGCAGGCAGTACTCGAAATTCAATAAATCTAGGAGCTTTTTTCATAACTACTTTTTAAGTTGATAATTTTATATGGCTTGCAAATGATGTTATAAATATCCAAATGGTCCTTGGCAGAAAAAAGGTTCCCCACCCCTGATTTAGATGAACACAGCTTATTGTTAGATAAGAGTCCCTGCCAACCTAGGGAGCTTGCACACTATCCTATAGGTAAAGGAAAGGATTTTAGGATATATGCTTGTTTTAAAAGCTATAATGTCTTTCTGTATCATTTCAACTCTCCTTCCCAAGTACATAGAAGGCGATTCATTAGGCCAGGAGTTGACAACCCAGTCTGCTGCCTGATTTTGCAAATAAAGTTTTATTGGAACACAGGCACTCTCATTCCTTTATCTATTTTGTACGGCTGCAAAATCTAATCTATTTACCATACTGCCATGCACAGTTAGTAGACTCCTACATGAGGTGATTAAAACTGACATTCTTTGGGAGTGGGTGGAAAGGTAGTAAACAAACTTTTGAGCTTTGATATGGAGTTGAAAGAATAGATAGGGAGAGAAAAACAGCTTTTCTCTTTTTTTGAGTAGTTTAAGGGTATATTTTTAGTATACACCATTTTACTATGGATATTTTAAAACTGAATATTTGAGACACCTGTTTTGCTCTCCACCCCGGGAACTCACCATACGTCTTTGCTGGTGACAGCCCTCAGAATCAGGAGGACTGAAGTCAGAGCGAGCCTCTACCTCACACTTGAGTTCCCCTAATGGACTTTTTATCTTTTATCTCTATCTTGTCTGCCTATAAAGTTCTCCCTCCCCTCCACCCTCTGCATGCAATCAATCACCAAATGCTGTTGATTTTATCTCCTAGTTGTTGACTCCATCTGTTTCTTTCTTACAGACATAACCCAAGGATACACCATCTTTCCCCTAAACAACAGCAACATTTCATAACCTGGCCTCTAGGGTTTCCCCATGTAATCCATCTCCATGCTGCCCTCAGAGGGGTATACGGAAAATGAAATTCTGTGTATGCCATTTTGGGGCTTAAAACTCTGCAATGACTCCCCATTTTGAATAGGATAAAAATCCAAGATCCCTACTATGGCATACAAAAATCCTTCAGACCTACCTTCTCTAGCCTTATCTTCTACTTCAGCCCATCATCACTTCTCAGACTTTTTGCTTCACTAACACTTGTTTATTTTTACTTTCTTAAACAGGCCATTATGTTAGCATCCTGGGCTGGTACAGAGGCTATAACACTTGAAATGTTTCGGTTCGAGTGTCTTCCATTTAGAAGGGCAATTGCTCCTCATCTTTTATATTCCTCTCTGTGATGTCCTCAAACTCCTAGATAGATCTCATGGCCCCTCTGTATTACATCTGTACTTTGGATATTAATCTATTATTGCATATAGATTGCATATAGCACACTACACTGACATTTGTTGACATATTTTTCTCCTTTACTAACAGTGATTTGTACAGGGATGACAAGCACTGGGTTTTAGTCAAGTCTGAATCCTTAGTGCATGGCATTGAGAACCTCAACATATATTTTAATGAATGGAAGACCTTTAAAAACTGTGTATTGTACTAATATTGAACATAAATATAAGAATTATTATTACCACTACTTTTACTTTTACTCCAGTTCTTCCATGTCTCACTCCTTGTTTCCTTTCACCACCTCCCTATAGAATAGATTTTCCCCTGAATCCTGGTCCTTGTGGCTGAATCGTACTAGATCTGTTTTCGTATACCCCTGTCATAAACAACCTCTTTCCTAAGACTGCCAAGCAATTTCAGGCTGTCACACTATCCTGATTTATGCTCTACCTGCCTATGGAATTTCCGCCTTCAGTCCATTTGCTACTGGCCTTTACTGATGCCAATTTTCTATAGCCAGGCTCCAGTGTTCCCAAGTATCTCCTCTTTCTAACTGCTGGAACCTTTTTTGGTCAACTGTCATGTTCTGGGAAGTCTATCTAATGTTACTTTATTTGTTGCATTGCATTTGCCAACTAAGCCCCAGTTCTGAGAGTTGTCATAAAGAGGTCAATTCAGAGTAGTTAACTGTCTACTTTTAATCCTCCATGCCCTTTATAGCCAGAAGTTAGCCTAAAGGGTAAAGAGTTTATGTGGCTAAAAATTTTTTTTTAAAGGGTTGATTGTATTGTGGCTTGGTTTCCTTACATTGGAAAGTACAGAGGAAAACCTGAGTTATTTAAGATATGCCTATGTTTATTTAACACACATTTATACAAAACAAAAATAAATATTTTGCCAATCCAGCATCTTAATGCATTTAGGATATATCCATATTAACAAGAAAAAGGTAGCATAGCACACTAGATGAGTGTACAAGCACTAGGGTCCGACAGATTTGAGGTTAAATCTTGGCTCAAAAACTTATCAGCTATGTGACCTTTGGGCTAGTTATTTAGCCCCTTAGGCCTTTAGTTTCTTCATCTGTAAAATGGGGATCATGGATACTTATCTCATAGGGTTGTTGTGAGGACCAAATAAGATACTTATGAGATGCTTAGGATAGTGTCTAGCACACAGAAAACGCTCAATGAATGGTAGCTTCAGAAAATATGACATTTATAATTTCCCTCTCCCACAATGGCATGAGAAAATGAATGATACTGCAATATGTATGCAGCTTGACAGTCAATATGACCTATAAAGCTGACCTTCAACTTACAAAATTATGTGCCAAAAGTAGTAAGTGAGTCGCTAATCTATCCATAAAAACAATGTTCTAAATGGTGGTTAGGTTGCCAAACCAGCCCAAATCAGTCAATTTAATTCATTTTACACCTGAAGTATAATATAAGTAGTACAGTACTATTTAACTATTCTGGTTCCCATGGTAGAAACAGCTAGAAGGGCATAGAGGCTCATGAGGGGGAATGAGCTATCATTGCCTTGGAAGTAGGGGCCCATAGAACCAGTCTGTTCATCAGTATGTGTGGGTAAGTTAAACAATAGCTGTATTAAGAAAAGAGATAATATGTCAAGTTCAGAAAAAAACTTAATATAAACTACAAAAACTAGCAAGTCACAGAAAGAATCACAACACTCACTTAGGCTAGCATAATTGTGGTGATAATAGGGAATGTCTTAGTGTGTTCCAGCACACAACTTTAACTTGTGAGTATTAAACAGAGACCATCTGATACTTTTAGCATGTCTTCAAATCACAAATAGTTCCATATAAACACAAGGAAGGTAGGACTATGTTTTTCAACATCTATTCATTTGCAAATAAGAAAAGCAGACGCAAACTTGCTAACTGGTAAAATGAAGCATTTTATTTATTAAAAAGAAATCTGAAGGTGCTTATGTTTTCTACATAGGAAAAGCCTAGGTGATAATCTGAGAGCTTTTATAGACAATTTAGGAAAGAGAAGTCATCAATTAGTGAATGGGATGAACACAGGATGACATACTAAAATTAAAACATAGCTTATCTGAATAAACTGGCTATTTGTAAATATTATTACTGATACCCTTTAGAGTAAATATTATAATATTTTCTCCCCGAACTGATGTGAAGTTAAAAGCTATATAACAAATTTAAGACTACTTATATTTAATAGCATATAATAATTAGTATCCAAACTAGCATTATTATTATTTTCTACTGTGATAATATTATACTCCTGAAAACAACGTTCTTGGGAAGCAAATTACTTCCTAATAAAATTATAATTTAATTATAACTTTTTAGCTTGCAGTTTAGATCACATTAGCACTTGCATTATTTAAAAGGCCTTCCATTTTGGTTTAAAAAACATTAAAGTTCACTCAGGAATGAAAATGGCCTAAGCTACCTGGCTGGAAATTTGTTGGCAATTTCTGTTTGGAAAAAATTGGAATATCAAAGCAAAAATGACTTGGTCATTTTAAGCCATAAATGTAGATCTTGAACCATCTTGGGTTCCTATTAAACTAATAGAATGAATGATGGATGAAGTTGTGACTTCCTGCTTTTGTAACTACTGGCTAAATATGATTATCTAGGATCACCATAAGACCCTGAAGATGAGAAACAAAGACTGTGGTGAAAACTTTAAATGTATGGATCACGGCCTTGCCGATGACTAAAAATTAAAGGTTCATTGAGGCCATTTGCTCCTATAAAATCCTTGTCACCAGTGGGAATGAAATTTCCTTTTGTGGTCTTAGAACAATGTTAAATTATCCATTTATTGATTCAACTGACAGATACGCCAACTATGTCTTTCAAAAGTTTAGACTTGTACTTCAAAAAATGATATTTTCTGCTCTTCACTTTCTGTCAAGTGCAGAGAAGTATATTTGTATATGCATATGAATCTTCAGCTTAATGGAATCATAGTTTACTTTAGGCAGTTTGTGTCAGCCTGCCCTGTACCTCTTTATAGCCCTACCCAGGAGAACTGTCACAAAATTCCACCTTCATTTAACACATTCCTCAGCAACTATTATAGTAGCTCTTGGAACACTGGCTTGTGTCAAAACATTAAGGGAATCACATTAATTGTGAAAAACTATGTTACATGTTCTTTTTCAAGATAAGAAAATGCCTTAAGACCATTTTAAAATTCCATTTTGTATGTCTTACTAGGTATACTCCTTTTTAAATGACTCAGGTTGACAGAGAAAAAAAGTGTGTGAATTTCAAAATAATACACTGATAGACCGACAGTTTAAATTAGAAACAATGTTTCTTTAAAACACTGGCATTATAAACTCATTTTTCTGAATGTGTATTTGTAGCATTTTCCATTCTTAGTCCCTCAGTGGAACTCATAAATGATCTCTTGTAGTTGATCATTATATTCAACAATGTGAAAATATCTGTTAGAGAACTGTATTTAAAGTAGCTTTGTTGTTCATAGAAAAAACTTTAAGGGCAAATTGCAAATTGCAAAGGTGGTATTAAATGGGAGATATACTTTTCTAGTCTCTTTTCCCATCTCCCAGAGAAAAAAAACATTTCACTTTCCCTACCACACCAACTTCTTAACATGGGACTAAAAAACACCAACAGCCTTACCTGTTTGACTGCATTATCATTTCCTAAACCACAGTCTGGACCAGAGCAGACGTAAACGTTGGATGGTAAATCATTATAAGAGTTCCTGCTGATGTCTGAAGAATCTCTCATATTGAAGTAAAGAGCCCATAGAAGTCTTGGCATTTCAACTTCATTTTCTAAATGTAAACATAAATTTTACTTACATCTAAAGCACAATATGCCTGTCAATTACTACAATATGAAGTCAATTACTAACAAAGTCATGACAATATATTTTAGTACATCAGAGCTTTATATGTAAACAATAGTAAATATGAATCTACATACTCTAATATATGTGCATATTTCAAGCAATGGCTTTTCAACCTAAAACAAGTTAGATTTCTAAAATTAATTTGATTTATTAGTAAGTTATTTAGATTTAACCCCAACTGTGTTCTCTTGGATTTCTATCATTTCTCCTCACCAGTATCAAAGAGCTTATGATTACATTCATACTTAAATTATGCCTCTAAAGACAATAACATAAATTGGTTTTCTTATGAATCACATGGAGAAACTACCTTAAAAATTACACAGCAATTTGAAGGGAGGAAGATGACAGCACTGTGACAAGGAGAGCACCCTTGCTTCCAGCCATGAACTCGATTTACTGCTAAAATACCGTATAACTAGCTTGGGAAAACCCTAGAAATATCCCAGAGTGGACATATTTCGAGTAGGGAGCACTGAAGAAACATCATAGAGTCTGGTAAGGAGGGGGCGTAGAAAGAGGGAGGACCCCCTGAAGCCAGTGCTGGGCTCTGAGGCCCCAGGGCTAAAGGCTGCAAATCTCCCTCGATTTAGGAGTGTGGACTGGCATCCAAAAGTGGGGATCTCAAACCCTGAGCAGAGAAGGGAGGAGAGCCCCAGCGGAGGGCAGAGGGACCCAGGGGTACAGTGTGCCTGCGAGGAGGGGATCACATCTTTCTAGTGAAACAAAGCTTCTAATGGCGGGCGTGACAGGTGCCTTTCACACAGAGTGCTGACCATAGGAAAGGCAGTCCCAGTGTGTGGCTCCCGAATAGAAAGGGTCCAGAGGGCTGCACTGAGCAGCAACATAGAGGGACTCTTTGCCTTTCTGTAAGGCATTGTGTAGAATCCCAGAAAGCATTTGATCTGTGTGGTGCAAGGAAGGGGAAGAGAGCCCTCCCACCAAGAGAGACAGACTGGAGCTGCCTGTGGGGAGGATTGGTTCTCCAGCCACCTGAGCTCGCAATTCTGGGATTTCTGATCCAGCCTGAGGGGTGCCGGGACAGTATGAAAGGAGCTTCCCCAGCTTCACTGAGATCAGCTGTGCAGGAGACTTGCATGGGGCTGACTTTGTGAACCCTCCTGCTTGGTGCCTAGGCATGGGGGCAAAGGGACCTTGCAGGGTGGATTCTGTGCTTATGTGTTGCTTTGTGCGCTTTTGAGGTTTTAATTGCTGAAAGGGTCTCCACCTTCCTGGCTTGCATTCCGGAGATAGATCAGAGAAAGCTGGGATTTATATCTCCATTGTGGAGAGTTTAAAATTAGCGCCCCCTACAATTAGCCAACCAGATCTGGGAAAGGAGGGGCAGAGCAAGCCTACCTCTCCTGCAGGCTAGGAGTACCACCCAGAACAGGAAAGGGACTGGTTCAGATCACCAAAGCCCCAGGTATACCCTCAGGGTACAGTCCTGGGGGGGAAGGGAGAACACCTCACAGAATGACATTAGAAGAATAAGACTCTCAGGTTCTATTGTTTGGGAACTGCAGGAAAAGCTTAAAATCCTTGAGGGGGGCAGGGCAGGAAAAGTGCTCACCGGAATTTTTTTTAATGGAACTCACTGAGCCCAGGCTGCTGAAACTGCCCATATAGAAAAGGTAACAGACTGAAATCAATCTGAAACTGCAGCAGGCCATTGTATGGAGAACTAGAATTGGAGGATAGTGTAGAGACTGAGGAGTTGGCTTTGAAGCAGAGAATAACTTCCCCACAATGAGTGCCTGACAGCAAAACCTCTAAGTAAGGAGAACTATATCCCAAACTATACTAGCTGGCCTGAACCCCGAAGACTCTTCAGAAGACTGGAGTAAGAACAGGCAACCATAAGTGGGAGCTGACAAGTGGAGGTGGTCCACAGAGAGCATCAGATCAGCCAACTACCTAAAACACCAGAGCCAAACCTAGACAGCTCCTGACATTAGCTTATACAGAAGATTTCCCAGGGAACTGAAATCAGTATATAGAACAGTCAGTCACAGGCAACATAAGCTGCCCAGATAAAACTCACCTGATTCACATTTTTTTCCCGTTAGGAAAAAGAGAGAAAAGAAAAAAAATTCTTTTTTAAAGTTTTCATTTTTTTAAAATTTGTTTTGCTTTGCTTGTTTTTTGTATTTGCTTTTTGCTTTGCCATGTTTTGTCTTTTGTTCTATAATCAAGATTTTCTTGATATTCTCTGCTTAATTGCTGGGACATTATCATTATAACCAATAAGTTTACTACTTTTCTCTATTATTTCCCCCATATCTCTTATTGGACTCCCTCCTTGCCCTTGCTTTATCTCTTTCTCTCTTCTCATTCCATTGCATAACTTTTTAAAATTTCTTTTCTCTTTCTCCCTTCTGTCTTCCTGTCTTTTTGTTTTTTGTTTCTGTCTCCTTATTGTATATTTATTTTTTCATTTTAAACTATTTTACTATTCCTACGCTCTACCCTTAAGTTTTTGCTTGAACCTCTTCCAGAATCTTTTCTCTGCCCCTTTACCTACCAGTAGCTTCTCAATTTTTTAGTTTTTATTTTAATATTATTATTTTTTTTCATTTTTCTTACTATTAGCAATAAAATCCTTTTCTCTCTCACTCTCTATTTTTTTCCTCTTTGTTTTTCTTTCTTTTGCATTAACATTTGTGTTCTCACTTCACTCTCCCAATTATACTTTCACTTCGGATGTTTTCATTGTGATTGTCAGGATATTTTGTAAGACACTGCCTGTTTCCTGGCAGTTTGGTCGTGTATTGTCTTGCTTTGCCAGCACCCGTAAAACAGCTCACATGATGTGGTTGAGGCTGAGACACACAGTTAGTCAACCTGAGAGGAGAGTCCTCCAAAGAAAGGGTCAACAACAATCTAGATCTAATCACAAAAAGAGAGCCCAAAGAACTCACAAAAGGGACACCAACAAAAGGGACACACCTAGAGTAAACAGCTCAGAAGTACACGGAAAACACACCTCTGGGATCCACTGGACATACACTACAAAATCCCACCCCACAAGACTGGGAAGTAGCAAATATATCTAATATATAGACACAAACACTAAGAAACACCAAAGTGGGGAGACAAAGAAACAACCTCCAAACTAAAGACAAGGAAAAATCACCAGAAAAAGAACTTGAGGAGATGGAGTTAAGCGAATTATCAGATACAGAGTTCAGAGTAGTGGTTACAAAGATGCTCAAGGAAATTAATGAGAACAACAAGACACTTAATGGAAAGGTTGAGGAACTTAGTGAAAACATAAAAAAAGAGATAAATATCAAAAATAAGAATCAGGTAGAAATGAAGAATAGTATATCTGATACAAAGAACACGCAGGAAGGAATTAAATGCAGGCTCAATGAAGCAGAGGATAGAATAAGTGACTTAGAAGATAAGGAAGGAAAAAAACCACTCAATCAGTGCAGCAAAAAGAAAAACACTTAAAATGCATGAGGACAGTCTAAGGGAGATTTGGGACAACATGAAGCAAAACATTTGTATCATGGGGGTGCCAGAGCGGGAAGAAAGAGAGCAAAGGATAGAGAATTTGGTGGAGGAAATACTGACAGAAAAATTCCCTAGGCTGGTGAGGTAGAAAGCCACACAAGTTCAGGAAGCACAGAGAGTTACAAAACGAGGGACTCAGAGAGACTCACTCCAAGACACATCCTAATTAAAATGGCAAATGTTAAGGACAAAGAGAGGATATTAAGAGCTGCAAGAGAGAGACAAGCAGTGACCTACAAGGGACCCCCAATAAGGCTGACAGCAGATTTCTCAACAGAAACTCTTTAGGCCAGAAGGGAGTGGAATGAAGTTCTCAAAATAATGAAAAGCAAGAACATGCAACCAAGACTGATTTATCCAGCAAGGCTATTGAAGGTGAAATAAAGAGCTTCCCAGACAAAAGAAGGTTAAAGGAGTTCAGTACTATCAAACTAGCATTGTAAGAAATGCTAAAAGGACTGCTTTAAGAAAAAGAAGAAATATTGAGAGAAACGTACATCAGCATAAATGGGGAAAATGGCATTAAATGAGTATATACCAATAGTAACCATACATGTAAATGGAATAAATGTTCTAATCAAAAGACACAGGGTAGCTGAATGGATAAGAAAACAGGATCCAAATATGCTGTCTACAAGAGACCCACTTGACAGTAAAAGATTCACACAGGCTAAAAGTGAAGGGATGGAAAAAAATATTCCAGGCAAATCAACACGAAAAAAAAGCTGGAGTAGCAATACTTATTTCTGACAAAATAAACTTCCAAATAAAAGACCATAACAAGAGATGAAGAGGGTCTCTACATAATAATAAAGGGATAAACCCAACCAGAGAAAATAATCTTTATAAATATATACACCCAATAGAGGAGCATCTAAATATATAAACCATTTTTTGGTGGACTTTAAGGGGTGAGCGAAAGCAACACAAGCATAGTGGGGGACTTTAACACCCCACTGTAATCATGGGACAGATCATCAAGAAAAAAAATCAACAGGGTAACACAGACCTTAATTGAAACACTAGACCTAATGGATTTAATGGACATTTATAGAACATTTCATACCAGAGCAGTAGAATATACATTCTTCTCAAGTGTACATGGAACATTCTCAAAAACAGACCACATGTTAGGGCGCACGGAAAGTCTCTACAAATTCAAGGCGACTGAAATCATAGGAAGCGTCTTCTCGAATCACAATGCCATGAAACTAGAAATCGACCAATATAGCCCAGCTGGGCGTGGCTCAGCGGTTGAGCGTCAACCTAGGATCCACGCGATTGGGGTTCGATTCCGGGTCAGGGAACATGCCCGGGTGGTGGGCTCGATCCCCAGTCGGGGGTGTGAGGAGGCAGCTGATCAATGACTCTCTCATCATTGATGTTTCTATCTCTCTCTCC